TATTGGTTTTGATTTTGATGCATGTGGTGATAAAAAAATGTTTTGTTTTATTATATTTTATATTTTTTAATTTAATTAAATAAAAAATGATATGGCAAATGAGTTGAGTGGATTGAAAAATATATGGTTTCTATCTATTATGGGTTTGGATAGATGGAAGAGAGAGGATATAAAAAAAACTGATCCGATGCTGATGTGATATGATATGTCAGTGTGTTGAGTGAGTTGAAAGGGAATGACTCATTTCTCCCTAAAAGAATGAGACGGTGCCGTTGACGATGGTGGTGGTGAGGATGCTTTATGTTTTCAACCGATTTAAGAGGAAAAGCGATGGTCCAAGATATATATGCTGGATTTTTTTTAAATATAAAATGAATTACATGTAAATTAAAAATAAAATAGTAATGGTAGTATAGTTATTTTATATCTGGAAAAGAATGAAATATATAAATTTAAATGGGTAAATGGTACAAAAAGCACTTTTTTATACATAAATTCGATTTTAATACCGTGTGTTTTTTTTTTGTCAATTTTGACACTGTGTTTTTCAATTTGTTACAATTCTGATCACTTGACTGGTTAACCAGATTACATGCTGGCGTGGCATGATGACGTGTCAGTTTTGATGACGTAGCATGCTGACATGATATGCTGACGTGTCAAAATTGAATTTTTTTTCCACAAAAAACACTAAGTTTCCACTTTTTTCGATTTTGACACTAAGTTTAATTTTTTATTTCAATTTTGACACTATGTTTTTTTTGTTCCAATCGAACATCATTTATCAAATTTTGTTCAATTTTGTCTATTTTCCATTTGAAAGCATATAAATATATTTTTTTTATTACATTTTAAACCATATAAACATATTTTTATCGTTTAAAAACCATATTTTTATTTAAATACAAGGTGTTTTTTTCATACATTCAAAACATTAGTTATATCATGAGAATCAAACTAACCATAAGTTTCTAATAAGATGTAAAAATTTGATGAGTTGCAAACTTGATATCCGAGTTTTGATCGACTACACGCCTCCAAACCTCCAAACACATTTTAAAGTTGCATATTTAATATAAAATACAATTTTTAAATAACTAATAAAATACAATTTTTAAATAACTAATACATATTTGTGCATAAAAATACGGTTTGAGTGTAAAAAAAATATATTTATACAAAACTATGGTTTTTAAATGAAAAAATATATATATATTTATACGGTTTAAATGTATTTAAAAAATATTTGTACGGTTTCAAATAGAAATTGTCAACATTAAACAAAATTGGAAAAAATGATGTTCAATTTGGAACAAAAAAACATAATGTTAAAGTTGAAAGAAAAAAATTAAACTTAGTGTCAAAATCGAAAAAAATGAAAACCTAGTGTTTTTTGTGAGAAAAAAATTCAATTTTGACACGTCAGCATATCATATCAGCATGCCACATCATCAAAACTGACATGCCATCATGTCACATCAGCATGTAATATGGTTAACCGGTCAAGTGGTCAGAATTGTAACAAATTGGAAAATTTAGTGTCAAAATTGATACAAAAAAAAATACAGTGTCAAAATCTAATTTCTGTGTAAAAAGAATGTTTTTTGTACTATTTACCCAATTTAAATTTAAATAAGGTGAATCGTACAAATTTAAAACATCTAAAAAAAGATGCGAGTTAATTTTTAGAATAACAAATTAAGAGGCATGAAGAAGATTCATGTCATTTACTCTAAATAAAACAATCAGTTAATTGGGCTTCAAATTGTTACGTTCGGCCCACTTTAATTGAGCTTCACATAATCTAAGCCCAATCCAATTGTCCTGTGCTTAATGCTCTTGAATCGTTTCTCGATTTTGATTTTATTCGTTGATGTTGGGATTGAATGATTGATAGGTTTATATGTAATTAGAGAACATAACAATGATAGAATATAAATATAACTTTTTAGCCGTATAACATAAAATTATTACATTAATAAATTTTAGAGATTTTTCGTATTTTCTTATAATTCAAATATTTGTCTTGGTCAATATAAAGTTTTGAGAAAGAGTAACCAATTTATATCGTCAATAATAAACTTAAAACAGTTGGAGACTTAACAATGTTTTTTTTTTCTCTCTTTTAACTTGAATATTCTAATTTTTTCTGAAAAAAGACATGTCTTAGAAGTCACAACGTTTTCATAAAAAGATCAAGGTCGGACCGAAAAAAGATCTGCCCAAGTAATAAAAAAGACCAAACCATTTTAAGATTGGTTCCAAAAATAACGGACCATCCAAGACCAATCTCAAAAAAAGACAGAAGCATAAGTTTATATACTCATCATTTTATGTTAATTGCACACGTGTTAATCATATATTACCCAACTTATTCACTTCTTTTGTTTTGTTAAATTTTAGTGTATGATTTTCAGTAAAATCTTAATGTATCATTTTGGTGTTAATCTCACACCTATTAATGACCAATGGATAGCTTCGGTATCAAATGTTGCCCTCTCGTTTCGGGGTTGAAGGTTCAAGTCTTGATTGGGACACTGGTGGATTTATGAGTATATTAGGAGTAGATTAAATTTGATGGTTCAAAAAAACCTCACATCTGCTAATGGAAAAATACAAAACCGAACCGAAAAAACCTCAAACTGAACCGAAAAATGTGCATACAAAGACCACAAGGTCGGTCCTAAAAATATCAGACCGAAAAAAGACATGCCCGAGACTGATTCGAAAAAGGATCAAACTGTTTTGAAACTAGTCCCAAAAGACCGGATAATTCTGAAACCGATTCGGTACCTGTCCGAGAGTGCCAATTGCCCAATTGTAAAAGAACATCGGAAAACGGTAATGGCGGTTACCTTATTTTTTTTCGACGTTCGGTGAACTTCACCATTTACTGCAACAAGCTTTCACTTCATTTTATTTTCTTTCTTGAAGCATTTGTGCATAATTTTATTCATATAATCTTTTCAATTTTACCGGACGTAATTAATCAACATGCCTCACACAAACATCAACTGAACTAATTCATCAGAATAAAACTTGAAATAAAGAACATAAAATTGATTATAACGCATGCCTATTATGTTCATTGTTCAATTTGTATGAAACAAAAAAATGTTCAAATTGGTAACTCTAAAATCTAACTCGTGAAATACACATTGGCTACTGTTCGGTTGGTTTTTTGGTTTTCAGTTTATACGGTTCGGTTTTATCGGTTTTTTTACATCTTAAAAATAACAATAACCAAACCAAATAAGGTTCGGTTTAATCGGTTTTGGTTAATTCAGCTACAGTTTATCGGTTTGATTTACCGGTTAAACCAAATACATTTTCGCATGTAACAACAAAAATATTAAACTAAAAGAAAAAAAAAACTTACTAACTTTTACTAAATGAAAAAAAAAAAAAACACTAATACATAACATATTATATTAAGTTTTTCATGATATATTATCTTAAGGTATCAATGTAGCCATACAAGTTCTAGATGCGAGTTAATAAAGTTTTAATCGTATATATGGAAGAAAGAAATTATTGAAGACTAATTGATATTTGACTAATTAATTGTTGTTTTTAATACCATGTATAAACAATTATAATTTATAATGATTAATAATTAAATAACCAGTTATAAAAATATTTTTTAATACATAGATATAAACTAAAAACTAGAAAAAACAGTTGTTAGTTTTTTAAAATATAAAATTCCATAAAAATCAAAAGCTAAAAAGTAAAACGATGTTAAATAATTTTTTAATTATAAATTTTTAATTTTAAATAAGATGTAAAAGCTGCTACCACCTTCGGTTTTTTCTTTTAAAAGAAAAAAAAAAAAAAAAAAAAAAAAAAAAAAAAAAAAAAAAAAAAAAAATTGTGCCGAACACAGCCCTTACTTTGTATGATTGTGATTTGTGAGTCACAGGTTGAATCAGACGTGGCATATGTTTCAGCCTCCTAATTTACTACTTTTTTGGGTGTCCCAAATATCCAATTTGTAATCATTCCATAAATGTCAATTTTGCCCTAGGATCATTTTAACACAAAAACACAAATTTAATATCACAGTTGATATAAAACCTCTCTAACCTAAAATTATTTTTGTATTAATTTGGTTTTCGTAAATACTAAAACACCGACTTTAATATTTAACTAGTATTAATCTTTCCTTTTATAATTTGATTCTTCAAGTTGAATATTATGTACCTTTAGTTTCTTTCATTGTATAATAATGATATTTGTTTATTTTAATCTTTATGTTCCAGAATTACCTAAAAATACAAATACTTTTTAATAAATTAAAACATAATATTATCTTCAAAACTTAACTACATATGGACATTTAATTTATGATTATACTTATCTATCTAATAAGTAAAAAACTGATAAATTATATAATTTTTCAATAACATATATAATTCAGAAATGAGAAATTAAATAACCTTTTATATTTTTTGTTCCTAAAAATCTTCCTACTCAATTAAATGATGACATATGTCACATTAAATTCTAATTTAATTATATTTAATTATACTAAAATGATATATGTCATTATTTAATTAGATAGAATGATTTGTAAGAATAAATGTAGGAGGATATTTAATCTCTTGAGTAATATATATATATATATATATATATATATATATATATATATATATATATATATATATATATATAATATAATGCAATAAATTTCATTATGTATCAATTTAGCTACTAGGGGCACTTTGGTAATTCACACTAGAAAATGGATAATCGAATAATATATGTGGCCAAAATTAGCAGCAACTTCCAGAACACAATGTACTTCAATTTAAGCCATTTTTGTTCTTCCTATTTCACTCTATCCTATAATCGTTTGATGTGATTAAGGATAATACATTACTGAATTCATGGTGGTTTTAAGCTACCAAGTTCTTCACTTTCCAAAAACTAACCACCACCACCACCACCACCGACGTTCCTCCACCATAAAACCCCACCACCACCATGGCGGCAGTTTCCTCCGGTGCGGGATAGCAGAGCCCTCCGGCCAACCAGCACCGATGGGGCAAAAGACAAAGTACAATGACGGGGTGTTTGAGAAGGTGTTCATGAGCTTATTTGCTCGGAAAATGGAAAAGTTTTCCGGGAAAGGGTATAAAGGTCAAAACAAGGGTTTGTTTGATTATGATTATGATAGTTTTGTGGATGTATCGAGAAGTGTAATGATAGGGAGGAATCGTATACAGCAACAGGAAGTTGTTAGGGAGGTCCTCATGTCCATGCTTCCTCCTGGCGCACCTGAACAGGTAGGATTTTACTTTATTACCCTTTATAAAATATCCACAATTAATATTTAATACCCGATATAATCCAAATATAAAACAATTTTTACTGTTGTTAATGGCTAATGTATCTAGTGTTTTACTGATGGTAGTTCAAGAAACTATTTCCACCCACAAAATGGGCAGCCGAGTTCAATGCAGCCCTCACAGTCCCTTTCTTCCATTGGTTAGTTGGTCCTTCCGAGGTAATGTATTGTTAGCTGCTGTCTGTTATCTGTTATTTGGATAAATAATATTTAAAAAAATATTTTTAAAAAAATGACAACCCGTTTAGGAAAGAGGAAAGAAAAAGTAAATAATAGTAAATTTGTAAAAAGTTAGACTTGTTTTTGTGACTTTGGTAAATCGTTTTTTCTGTATTAAATTAAAAAGAAACATTTGTATATAGTTTAGTAAATAATATTTAAAAATATTAGAAAAAGATGACAACCCGTTTAGGAAAGCGGAAAGAAAAAGTAAATAATATAAAATTTGTAAAAGGTTAGACTTACTTTCGTAATTTTTTCCGTTAAGTTGTTTTTTCTGTATTGAATTAAAAAGAAACACTTGTATATAGTTTACCAGATTAAGTCATGTCTGTGTTAGGTGGTAGAAGTAGAAGTGAACGGGGTAAAGCAAAGGAGTGGGGTCCTTATAAAGAAATGTAGGTACTTGGAGAATAGCGGGTGTGTAGGAATGTGTGTTAATATGTGTAAAATTCCTACTCAAGATTTCTTCACCAACGAATTTGGTCTTCCATTGACCATGATTCCAAGTAATTTCTCTAATTGTGTATTATTTTTTTTTACGGGTAAATGCAAGAAATAACAATTTATTTTCATTTTTTTTCCTATTATAGTATTGTATTTCAAGAAATTTATTCGGTTATAAAATGTCATCTAAATACAAAGCAATTCTCACTACTACAATCGGGTATATATTGTAAAGTAAAATGCCATAGACTCATAATAAGAAAAAACTAAAAGTACAATGTTGTAATAGAAAGAAATGTAAGTAGGATGCTATAATATATAAATAAATGAGAATAAGTTGTTATCTCTTGCATTTAGCCCCTTTTTAATATCTAAACACATAGACTAAGTGTCATTTTTGGTCCCTAAGTATAGTTAATTTTTGCAATTTTGGTCTAAAAAAGTTTTCTTTTGCAATTTTGTCCCTCATTTTAGGTTCTTCCAATGTTTTTGGCCCCTTTTCAAAGTATCATAACTAATTTTAGTCCCTAACTATACTATAACTGATTTTTTTCAATTTTGGTCCCCAAAATATAATGATTTAGTTGGAACATGACCATACATATGACAAAAACCTTAAATAATGACCAAATTTGCAAGAGAATTTTTTGGGACCAAAATTGAAAAGAATAACTATACCTAGAGACCAAAAATGTAAATTTACTCAAACATTTAACTTCATATTTTTTATAGATTTTGAAGATATGAGTTGCGAAATGGTGTATGGTCAAGCTCCACCGAAATTTGAAGAAGATCCGGTGGCCAAACAACCATGTTTTACCGATATTTGTAAGTTTGTTACCATTATAAGTTATTATGGGTCAATAATAATAGTACTGTCCAGACCCAAAAATCCAGTCCCGTCAAATCACAACGTATCTTACAAAAGAGACGGTCTGATTAAAGACCAATAATGTCATAGTCCGGTCCAAGACTGACATGTTAAGCAGTAACTATGTCAGACAATCTTGGACCAGGATATAGGAGTGTTACCATGTTTGTATGAATTGGTTTAATTTATTTTTTTTATTAATCAGACCAATAATGTCATAGCTCGGTCCAAGACTAACATGCTAAGCAGTAACTGTGTCAGGCAGTCTTGGACCAGGATATAACAACAGTGTTACCATGTTTGTATGGATTGGTTTAATTTGTTTTTTTTATTATGTAGGTTCGGTAGCAAACACTAGTTCCAGCATTTGCCCCAAACTACAAGTGTGATACGGTTTTATTACATATATTGACACAATTATATATTTTTCTTGATTATTGGGGTGAGACCCCAATTTTTTAATTTTATTTTGGTGTAGTGAAATAAAATGTTGTGTTGATTGATATATGTAAATGTAAATCTGTAAATGTAATAATGTATGGGGAGAAAAAAAGTAAGGTAATGGGCGGGGAATCTACTATAATAAATGAAGGTTTTTTGCCACATGTTCTCTTCTCATTCATTTGGACACATATCATTCTCTAGATTTTTTAAATTTTTTATTTTCCACTTGTCATTTTATTGAATTTTTCATTATATTAAATTAAAATTTCACATTTAATGTGTAAGGTAACATATAGGTAAGCTATTTATTAGAAAGAGTTTATATATGTAATGTATTCAATATATTAAAGTCTTATTAATTTTAATAATTCAAATTTTTCTCATTTTTCTTATAAATTCAAACTTTTCAAATTATTAATTTGTTTTTTTAATTAAATTCATGTAATACATGGGTGTCACAACTAGTCTTCTTTAATAAATGAAGGTTTTTTTTTGCCACTTGTCACACTTTCATTCATTTTGTCACATATCATTTTGTGGTTATTTTGAATTAATTTTTATTTCATATGTAATTTTGTGGTTTTCCTATTTTATTAAATTTTATATGGTATTTAAATTTAATAATAAATGCATAACAATTTCATTAATGAACTTTCCTTATAACTTCAAATTTTTAAAATAAAATCTCATTAATTTGCTTTGATTATTTTATCTAAATGATTTGTTTAAATTTAAAAGAGAAAAAAAAACACTTTAATTTTAGTAATTCAATATTTTTCTTATAAATTCAAAATTTTCAAATGTTTATACATATTTAATTGTTTTAAATACACCCATATAATACATAGGACTCACACCTAGTAAATAATAAATAGGTAAACCAAACGTTGAATGGGCTCCATCGAATTCCATTGATCTTTTTTAGTTTTATAAAATATAATAAATATGAAGTAACCAATGCAGCATTTCTTTTAACTGCCCAAAGAAATTCTTTTCTGATTAACTACTTGATGGGTTTTTTATTTATTTATTTATTTATTTATTTATTTATAATTCAAAAGAATCACTGTGAGATTTTTTCAGTAATTAATTACATGTAACAATCGAAAGAATATTTGTTTGATAACGTTGTTTTTTTAATTCAAAGTTTTAATGGTAAAATTGTAAAAAAATTTATTTCTGTGGTTAAACCAAATAAATTCTAAACAATAGTGGTTTTATACGCTTTAAAGTTTTATGTAATTGTTTCTTTAGAAAAAAAAATTAATTTTTTGGTAGTTGAATCTGAAAAATATTCTTTAGTTGGTTAAACCAAACAGATAGTATAATGGTCTTTGTGGAATTTGGTCTAAATAATATAAAAACCAGTACTGTGTGCTGATGATCTATATTTTAATAAAGAGAAATTAAATTCATTTAATTTCTTTTTAAGAGAAGTTAAATTACCTTCTATTTTTTATGTTTATAATTATTCCTACCCATTAAAAATATATCAAATTACTATTCAATTTAATTTAATTTTATATGTTTTTAATATAGTCTTAATGAGTTAGTTAAAAAAATATAGAATGATGACACTTGTCATAATTTTATTGAGTAGAAATATTTGTAGGCATAAAAAGTAAGAAACAATTTAATTTCTCTTTAATAAAAAGTTTAACTATAAGTTTGTGAAGATCTTGATACACTTTACATACATATTAGGGTGATACGTATTTATCTTCGGATCACTCTCATCTATGATGTTAAATCAGCATCACATTAGTTTTTTTTTTCTTTATCATTTTTCCTATTCAATCTCTCATCCCTAGACGTATGAAAATTGTTATATTTCACTTTCCTCGTATCCTTCGTCTTTTTATACAAATAAAAATATACATAATACAAGTTAAAGAAGAAAAAGAGTCACGTAACTCACGTGTCCTGAAATGCCTCAAAACTTTCGGTAATGGGACACTCAGTGGTGGTACAGCTCTTCCTGAGACATTTTTAGTGTATTCGTCCATCTTTATATTGATTTATATGTTTTTAGCTAAATTTGTTACTTACTAGTTTGATTCATTTGAAACAAAATGTAAATTACCTTGCAAATATAAATTAATTTGCATACTTTTGCTTGCATAGATTTGTATGAATTATCTTTTTAAATAAAACATAGTTACATAAAAACGAGATTGTTCTGGTACGTGGAACGAAAACGGGATCGGAGATCGGTAATCTATAAAATTTGGTACGACCAGGTTAGTCTTCTCTGGAAGACTATTTTGGTACGAGAATGATGTACCATGTAGTGTGGTACAATGTACCATATATAAAGCTAAAATAACTTCAAAGTTCAAAACAAAATAACTTCATAATTTATGTCAAAAGTTCATCAAGTTTACTCTTTCATTTGTCTATCAGTCACTCTCTCAACGTCTTCTAGATTTTCCCATTTCATTTCTTCAAGTCTTGTACTTGACTCTTCCAAGTTAGTGCTTTCGGGATTTACATCCCACTTCTTTTGTGGCTCAGATGTGCAACTTTCAGAGAATCTCGATTGGAGATGAATATTCGAATGTATAAAGACCAATTTATCAGCCCTTTTGGAGTTCAATCGGTTTCTCTTGACATTATGTATGTACAAGTACATACTCCACTAGCTCTTAGCTGATGAACTACTAATAGGTTGCGATAAAACTTTCTTTGTTATAGCAGCAAGTTCGAGAGTTTCTGTGTAACACTCCAAAAATCATAGAAATTTTAAAAATTTATAATCAACCATTTACCGATCATTTTTTTTATAAAAGAGTCATTGTTTCAAAAGTATGATTCAAAATTAGAGTTTTCCCCAAGATCCCATAACACAAAACAGGAAGGTGTGCACGATCACACATTTGCTTTCCCGCGATCATTCGAAATACCTAAAACAATAAACTGAAACTGTAAGCAAAAACTTAGTGAGTTCTCCCAAAGTACCAACACATAACATAAAACAACATATACTAGGTCCACAACTAACAAACTATGTTACCCTTGAGCCCAAAGTATGAGCATGGCTTGCCCTTCAGGCCCATAACTCATATATGGTTCACTCCCGAGCCCACAACATAAATCTGACTTGCCCTACAGGCCCACAACTTATATTTGGCTTGCTCTAGAGTTTTTTGGCTACCATACAAAGTAGTACTACCTCAACCTAACCATACCATGTCGACATATACATAAAATATAATATTTATATACGACAACAGATAAATATATAACTAGTCATCAGACAAACAGACATATCTACAGATCACTACTGCATACTACATACTATTTACTAGGATACCGATCTAATCAATCACTATAACATATCAACATCCTCTATGCCAGGATACATAATCTAGTGGGTCGACATTGGTGCCTTCGACTCGTAAGTACAGTGAAGAAAACTAACCTCTCAGTACCAAATAATGACATTGGTGCCTTCAACTGGTCACCTAAACACCAAATAATGACAGATCTCAAGTACCACTCAATTTGCCTAAAATACCCTCACATCAAACTTAGTCAAAGGTCAAAGTCAATAAACCAATCGAGTCAAACCAGCCAAGTACGCGAGGCATACACGATGGTTGACCAGGAAACGGGGGTTTGGTCGTGTACGCACAACGTACCAATTGGTACGTCCAGTGTATACAGCTGAACTTCTTCTTAATGCACTAAGTGTTTAATAATGATATTTTACATCCAACTTTATTGTCTTGCATGGCTAATAAGTGTTAAATGCTAGAAACCCCAACCTCTTAACCCATTAAGGCTACCAAGCACATACATGGGGAAGAGTTAAGAGCTAAGACCCTATTTTTATGCTTCTAAACTAATCAAAACGTCCGAAAGGACATTTTAAATGGGTTGGAGCATGCCATACTAAAAAAGATCAAGACTTGGGACCAAAATGTTCATGAATAAAGAACTTAGCAAGATCTAAGAAATCACAAGCCAAGTTTAAAGCTTTATACCTCTTGGAGGTTGCTCGATAGGTGAAGAACCCAGATCCAAAGCTCCTTCAAGCTTCCAAGGTGATTCTAATTCCTTCTTTCTCCTTCAAAGCCACCAAAAACACATACAAGGGTCAAGAATGCTCAAACAAATGGCTAGGGTTTTCAAAGATCATTTAGAGGTGTTGGAGGCTGATGAGGGAGTGAGAACTTGAAAGTAAATGATGTTCATATAGGGTCTAAACCCTAAAAATTAGGGTTTGTTGATCACACATGTAGTCCCCGCATACGTAAGTCCGCCACAAAATTACAAAAATGTCACTATGGGGCATTTTGCAAGCTTTATGCACAAGGTCCAAAATGCAATAGTTCTTCATACTTAGGGTTAAAATTGAAAATACCTCATCATCGTAATGTTACATTCTGACCCGTAACTTGACCACCAATCAATAGTATCCATGGTCACCGCATCCATGTGAGCTGCCGCCAGTGCATAAAGGCCTTTCTTCATGTGAAAAGTAGCGAATTGCTCACGTAAAAGATGGTCCTCTTCTTCAATTTCTACGATCCTCTTAAAAGATTCCATTACACAACCTCTTTATCAAGTTTTGGAGCTTTCCAACAAACTCCACCTAGTGACATCTCCTCAAGATAATTTTTATCATAAAATTGTGGAGATAATGCAAATCCTAAACAATGAAAATGGATTGCCATCTTCTACCATCTTCCTAGTATAATCTTCTCCACTCAATGGTAATACTTAGCATAACGATGATTCATCATGACATCCTTACTCTCTCCTAGAATGTTATCCATTTTCTCGTAAAATTTTCCCATCTTTGACCCATCACCATCACAAAATTTAACCATCAAGTATTTTAGTTTTGTAACAGCAAGAACACTTTCCACACCATCCCAAAGTCTTCACTATTAACTGTATTAGCAACTAATAATCCATTTTGCCTAGTGTTTTCATCACCATTTTCAGCCACTCTCTCCATGAATTAAGGACAACTGTAGTAGCAAGAGGCTCTCTACAATCCCATAACCTTTTGAGCAAAGTATAATGAGATGCAAATCTTGTTTTGACTACTTTTAACAATTCCAGTTGTGAACTATCTCTAAAAATAGCCAATGCATGGTTGTGATTAAGAAAATACTTAATAATTGTTTTCCCTTTCCTATATGTGTCCATTAGCCAAAAACATTCGATTTCAAGATCTTTAAAACTTAA